ATCATCGCCGCCGGTTACTACGCACACCCGTACTCACCCCTCGTGCTGTACGTACACGTACGCCTAGAGCCTCAGCGGTTCTCAAACCTTTTTATTTTTTTTTTTGTTCGCGACGAGCCCTCGATGTGATAGAAACCGTGGCGTTCACGGAACAGCCCTAGAAACCGGGGAGGCCGATTTAAAACCATAGCTCGTAGAAAATGAGATTAGAATTGAAGATGAAAATCCGTTTACGTGTTTTTAACGCGTTTAACTAATAATAACGTATCGATGTATATGATTCCGGTCAACTCCGTGTAACACGGTTTGAGAACCGCTGCACTGAATTATGTTGCGCGTGCAATATGTGAATTCGATTAAAACGCCTCGTAAAAATATCGAGTTATAAAAGTATATTACTCCGAAGAGTAAAATGATGGGAGGGGGGAAATCCCAGTTAACATACTGCACGTTGAAAAATAGATATATAAATTTTTTTTTGTTTTTAGTATGTACGTTTACGATTTCCGAGTAAGTACATCTGAACATCTCGTTTGATTTATTCGCGACAACGGCGTGGCCACGAAATCGACTTTTATAAACATTATTAACGCATTCGTAGCAATGAACATGATAATATTATGCCAGTTATATAATTCGTAAAGTAACCAATTAGCTGAAAGCTAACTGTAGGTACGAAGCGAATCCTCCAAAATTAATATTGTCACGAACTCGTACCCCTGTATGCCGTTTGAAAATTTCAGCCTCTGTAATGTAACATGGTTTTCCTCGAAATCGATATTGTAATTAATTCATATACACAATGCGTTATTTGTTTATAAGCCATATATGCTATCATAATTATACATATATTTTCAAATATTATTTCCTAAAGCATGACGCGTGCTGCTGAAGCCTTAACACGAATGAAAGAAACATATATGTTTTAATATCGTTATACTCTCGAAATCTCACTCGTGAACCGTATTTCAATTGTTGGTACAAAACTTGTTATCTGCTGGTGTGCACCCCGTACCGTTCCTGACAGAAACGTTATTTAACTAGATATAATAACGACGTGATAAAAATAAGTTATTTTTTCGCCAAAGTAACTGTACGGGTGATCGCGTTTATTATGTGCGACACCTGAAAACACACAAGTCGTATTCACCGCCAAGACCAATAAAGATTACTCTGAACGCATATTTATAGTGCGTAGAACGTTATCGTCGTGCGTTGGAAAGTATATAATTTTTATTACGGGTACCCGTGATATGTACGTACATACAAAATTGTCAATAGGGTCCACTACGTTTTCCTGATCTCGTCATTTGCGCACATATGTCCTGGCGTCGAATAAACTTCATTACCCCCGAAATCCTGCGCTATAGCCAGGATACGGTGGTTTTATCTCTTCGTACATATACGCACACGTATTATGGATCCTCCTCTACCGTGCACGTTTGATCGGGCAAAACATTTCAACTTTTTGTGATACACATACGCCGCCATCCACCGTTCCGTGTAAGTCACGTATATCTTAACCATATCAGTTATTATATCGGTTGCATACGCCCGCGCTCGCGCGCAATATGTAAACAAATTATGATGAACGTTTTAAGGGAGAATAAGCATGGCTTAACGTTCAGATGTACGTATTAATTAAACCGTTCGTCAAACGTGACATAATTATATCCTGGTACGACGAAACTACAGTTGGGTCTTAGTAGTGTAGAAGACTTTTTTCAAATATATATATATATATATAGTTGATACAAAATTAAAATATTTATAAGAGAGAATACTCGTTTTCCCCGCGGTTCATTGCGTGTCGTGGGGACGGCGGACGGTACGAATATCTGTACCAAATTCGTTTTAAAAAAGAGTATAATTTTTTCTCGATAATGCTTTCCCCATTACTACTGCGCCGCTGACTTGGCATATTGTTGTACAATTTTTTTCTCCCGAATACAAACAATCATTTGTACAAAGATATTTTCTTTTGCTCCATTCATGTGCCGTCGATAATAATAGTATAGCACAAAAAATTACAGATTCCGCCTCCTCTAATGAAATAATAAAATGTATTGCAAAATATAATATTTTTTTTTCTCCGAATTATCGGAACGTAAAACAATCTCTAATGTACATTGTGTACTCGTCTGTGTGTGCTTACACGTTATTGTTGTTGATTTTTTGATTTTTTCATTCTGAATTATAACGTTTTTTTTCCGCTCTAGGAAAAGGGAATATAAAGGTCGGAAACACAATATTACGCAGAAGCGCTGCTTATAATTGTCTTGTAGTATATTTCTGTTTATATTGTTATCGACTTGCTATATTATTTATTGCTTTACGTTGTGCCGTAAATTCTCCTCAGATTTTTCTTTTCTTTCGGCAGACGTTGAAACAACGCACCTAGCACGTATGTATTGCGTTCGGTATTATAATTTATAAGTATATATACTTACAAAATAGCGCAAAGAATCGCGTATAGTAGTAGTGTAATACCAGTAGCACGCGGTTTGTAATATTGAACGCGCATCGGAATTGGATACTTCTAAGTTCGAGAGTGCTCTCTTGAACAGGATTTTGAAATGAAAATTATTTCCAAGCATTATGTAATATCCGTCTGGATCATTGTTTACATATATTGTATAACAAGGAGTTTGCGTATGTTTCGTGTACACCTGTGTTGTTTCGGTCGGATCGTTGCGAAAATAAAAACCGCTCTAACACGCATGCATACAGTTAATGACCCGGTTCGCACGTTATCATTGTAACGTGTAAATCGTTAACGTACAAAGTATAATGCACTGCAGAAGCGCTGCTTTTCATATTTTACGTATATTTACTTATGTTATCGTTTCGAAATGAAATTTGTTTTATTATCAATCGTTGCATAATGCGTGGCTTCAAATTATATGGTTCGGGTTATAGAATAGAAGAAAAATTCCCTAACGAGCTCGAATTATACATTTTAGTTGTTTTTCAACGCATGCACTACGTGTGTCGTGTAATTATTATTATAATTGTCGCGCGTAGGAGTATACCCGTAGATGACCACGTCGGTCGATTCAAATATAATATATGTACGTATAAAATATAACGACGTAACGCGATACGTGAATAATATAATATTATACATATTATAATAGTGGAATACACTTTTAGAGACGTACGTACATGCATTATTAGATTTCAAAATCGATTCGTGTAGAATAGCTTACGATTTAAAATTCAAATACAAATACGATCATCTTTATGCGCTCTTACGTATGGAGACAGCAAAGTGTAGGTAGTATATAGGTAGAGGGAAAGCGAGAGACGTTGACGAAAGAGAATTTAAAGTTATCGTCGGAACGGCTTAACACTTTAAAGGGTAAAAATAGCTCTTGGGATACTTGTACAGGGAAAACAGGGAGCAGTGAAAGGTCGTTTCAAGGATTCACGTATTTCGAAAAAATGTGGTACTACAAGATCGTACAGTTAGTAGTAGTAGTTCGGCCGAGCTTTGTACATGTACGCGCATAAAGTAATAATGACGACTAATAACACGAGATAACCGGACGTTTTGTTGTCGGCAGATGCCGGCGGTCAAGTCGACCATTAATATGCATGAAACGGATTCCAGACCCGGTTACCCTCTTACTCCTTTCGTCCAACCCACCCTCGGGGGGAGGAAAAGTATACAGTCTGGACAAAAAATATTCAAGCAAATCACGTACATCGCTTTATAATATACATGTATAAAGTATGCACAATAATAAATGATAAAACCTTCGCGAATTAAAATCAAAGTCTCAAAGAGCCGACCGCTGTATATTATACTCGTAGAATAACGCTTTGCTGTGTATTATGCGATTACATATAAATGATCACAAGTCGTAGCTGTTAGTACACGTGAAGTTCGAATCGGTAAACGCGATGCACGTACAGTCATGTTTTGCAATACAGTACGCGACGTAAAACTAATTTTATTCGATGGCTGATAACGAATATTTATTATGCAGTAGTTATACGAAAATGTACGCAGCTTCATTTTTTCTTTCCGTTTGACAATTTTATCGCACGCGCAGAACACTAACGCCACCCCGTTTAGTTTTTTATAATCATTAACAGAATTGGTTTGCATATATATATATATATTGCAGTACATTGTTACAATAATATTTTTTTCGTTCTGTGTACACATCATATTTCACGCAAAGACCGACCGCTCTTACCCTGACCGACCACGAGGAATATATTATCGTCAGAGAACGGCGCCAAACCGCATTGTTGTGTCAATATGTATTATACAAATATATAAATATATGTATAGGCATTTCCATAGTCGTCGTATATACCCGTCCCCGTAGTCCTCGAGACGACCTGTCGAAATCCACATCCACGTAATATATTCATTTATGCCCCGCGCGCGTACGCAGTGTTTACTTATTCCGCGTGTATATAAATGTATGTATGTATATGTGTATAAGTTATTAGGTACACCCCGAAAGGAAAGAAAAACGCTTGATCCTCCATCATAGTTATCAAATAACGACTTTGGTGTCATTAATATTTTCAATTCGAACGTCCTCCCCGAGAACACGCTCACAAGACATTTTCGGAAGAAAAATAATAATAAATAAGACAGCCCACTCATATAGTAATGCGTATATATTTATCTGTATAATATACACTCGTGTGTATGAGATTTCGTTTACGTTTGGTCAAGTTTTACTGTACATTGTACATGCAGAATATATATATATATATATATATATTTCGTTTCCATTTCCGTCGAATTTATTGGATCATATTGTTGTTATTGTCGTTTCTCCTGTGCAGATTCTTTATTCGCCGCGGTGCAGCCGTGTGCGAAAATAATATCACCGTGTTGCAATATAGTTCTCACGGTGATTTGTGTAATAAACCGTTTATCCGACGAACGGAATGCTTTTAACGAAACGTCCGTTTGTGCGTGAGCACAACCGACTGTTATTTAACGATTAATATTGTTAATATTTTTTCCTCAGGTAAATCGCCCTTCTTTCAATCTCTGGAAGATCAAACGGGATTGTTGGATGACTCTAGTTCCAATTTGATTGATACATCTGTGCAAGCTCTGACGTCCCCATCTCGATCGTCACCCCACAGCCAAGGATCGGAAAGCAGCGAAAGGTTTTCTAGAAAAGTGTTCGTCGGCGGTTTGCCGCCAGATATTGACGAAGGTTCGGTTTTAATCATTTTCAGTTACTATTCTTCCAGCGACAGAAATCATCAATTGACACTGACGTGCATTTTTCTCTTTCAGATGAAATCACAGCTAGTTTCCGTAGATTCGGTCAATTGGTGGTTGACTGGCCTCATAAAGCTGAAAGCAAGTCTTATTTCCCACCTAAAGGATATGCTTTTCTTTTATTTCAGGTACTTTTCACCGATATTAAATGCGGTTATTAAATTGCTTTTAAACGCGTAACCCATTTTTTGGCACGTTATGTTTTTGAATACTTTATTTGTGAAATGTTTTTCGTATTATTATTTTTTCATTCCAGGCGATTAACTCAGTGTGCGCTATACTCATTTTCTCCAAACAATTCTGTTATTAATTCTAGTGTTTATTGTACTTTATACCTATTGCATGTTCTTAAACAAAAACTTAAATTTTTTTATAACCAAATTTCTAAGTTTTTTAGTTTTTTTTGTTCGAATGGCATTATTTATTTTCAAATTTTTCTATGCATCACGGATATACATAGAGAATATTATTATTTCTGTTCATTGCTTGCGTAAATGTTTAATTTACAACGTTGAGCAGATAACTTTTGTTATCTGTACATATTTAAGATAATAATTCAGCAGAGCGTAGTGGTGCAATAAAAATTCGTGAGGTGTAAAACTATTTCCCAACAGTGTTCCGATTATCTTATCTACAATTCAAACATTTATAGTTATATTAAACAGTTATTCAAAGCTCAGTATTTACACGTCGTAGATGTAGACTTTCAAAAATGCAGAAGTAAAATTGTATATTCAATAATAATAAAATCGAAAACTTATATTAACCATACTAATTAGCCATATATTTAAATATTTCATTAAAAATTAAAGACGCGTGTTCCTAACTGAAATTATAAAAAAAATATTACCTGACAAGATTATGTTCTACGAGTATGAGTTTACCGTGCATTAATAGAACAATAATAAAAATAATTCGCGTCTTCCATCCGACTTGACGTCGTTAAATAATCCAATAAACTATGAATAATAATGTCTTTTGCTTTATTAATATTTAAATATACCTAAATTCGATTTAAAATTGTTATATATTCACATTGTGTATTATGGACACGTGGTAAGTTCTGTATAATATGGTTCTATATAAATTACATTATATTGTGTCGGTAATTAATTTATAAAGGTGGTTTTCGTCTATTTACAATGATGATTATGTATGCTTATAACTAAACTTCAGACAGACAGATTATAATACTCGAGTGGTAAACTACATGTATGCATATTGTATGCAATATTCATTTGAACGTTGAGAAACAATCAACTGCTCGTGAAATCAACCTTAACTAGAAGTATTAAGAGGAAAAACAGCTCCGCATAATACGTATTGACACGTGAATCATCAACCCAATGAGTGTCATTGACAATAATTGTAAATTCAAATAACATTTCATGTCTCCATATACTTTCTACTATAAGTTCGTAAATTATTTAAAATAATAAGCAATCACTAAATAGTATAATAATTTTGTTTACTTTTTTCTTTAGGATTTTCCAACATTTGATAATCGTATTACAAAATAAAATTAAGCAAATTTAAAATCGTGGTATAGCATAAAAATAAAACTGAAAAATTTTATAACATTATTGTTAAATATCCACTCTTCTCAACATCATAATCTGTGGAATCTATGGAGACCGAATCTGAATAAAAATTTTAAAAAAAACCATATTTACTACCTACCGCATTTGTGCAAATATGACCGACTGTATAAATTGTCTTACAATTCGTTGAGATTATATTTGAGAAAAGTAAAAAGATTTATTGTCTCTAGCGAAAAAGTTATTTTAAATTGTCTAATTCATGGTTGATATCGAGTTAAAAAAAAAAAAAAAAGTAAACTTGTTGAAAAATATTTTTGCCAACTCTAAGGCTTTTTTTTTTAACACTCGATTCCCCTTTTCGTTTACGTATTCAATTATTATTTTTTCTATGTCCTAAATTAATTGGCCTGCTACCAGTTGGCCCAAGACTTAAATTTCTATTTTCGAGTGTTCAAAATTACTACGACGGGTGCTAATTGGTCGGAGGACACAGTTTGTATTATATTTGTTGCCCCAGAACACGGGTTGATGATGAAATACATGTGCACATAACTACCTATTTGTATCAATCATCGTTTCCATTACTCGTCAATTTTTATTCTTTATTTTGTTGTCATATATTTTTATTTTTTGTGTTGGTGAAGGATGAATCTTCGGTACAGCAATTGATCGACGCGTGCATTCAGGATGACGATAAACTATACTTATGTGTGTCTTCACCGACCATCAAAGACAAACCGGTACAAATAAGGCCTTGGCGTCTATCCGATGCCGATTTCGTGTTGGATGCATCCATGCCGCTAGACCCCCGGAAAACCGTGTTCGTGGGCGGCGTTCCTAGACCGTTAAAAGCCGGTAAGTTTACTAGTCCCCCCCCCCATCGGTATAGCCACGAATGTTAAAAATATAGAATGTATTCACACACGCGCGTACGATACGGAGTGGAATGACTTGACGTTTTTTTCTCCATTAAATAATTCTCTGGCAACTCCGTACTTACGTACTTATATTAAATTGATAAAAATTGTATTTTCCTCCTTTTAAGTGATAGTAGAATAATGTGCCAAGACTTCGGGATTTTTCAATGAATAATGATTCGTCCGGGAAAATAAAAAATAAAAAATATGAAAAACTTAATGAAATATTTACGACACGGCATTTCACATATGCACATATATTGTTCTGGGACGAAAACATCTTATGATACCCGCTTTCAGCTGCGTAGCCATATGTACTCACTTTTGTACATGTTTGTTACGGTTAATGTTTAACCGTGGGTATTGTCAACACTTGCTGATCACATTCGGTTTATGTTTATTTTATACTTTACTCTTCGGCTGTCGTATTGATTACCTATGTAATGGTAACAATTACTAGGAATAAAACTGTACCTTTGGAAACGTTCAAATTGACCCATTAATGTATTTAGGATAAGTTTTTTTTTTTTTAAATTCATGATATATGACCCCTTCCCCTCAAAAGTTCTTGAAGATTGATGACCAAAAAAATACCCCAAAAAAAATATTAAATTTATACTCTCAGGTGTGTGGCAAGTAATCTTCAACTTTGGGTATTTTAATCAAAATAATTCTCTACCCATAATATAATAGTATAATCGTGTATATGTTTATGTTGTTTTCTTTATATTTAAAAAAAATCAATTAAAAATGTTGATGGTACTTCTTACCCGTTATCTCATATTAATCGTATAGACGGAGGGGGGAAACCCCAATAATTTAATTATGTTTACTAATTTATCATTATTTTTTTTTTCGCACACTCGATTATTGTGCTCCTTTCGCATCGATTCCAGTCGAACTGGCTATGATCATGGACAGACTGTACGGCGGTGTGTGCTACGCGGGCATCGATACCGATCCGGAGCTCAAGTATCCAAAGGGAGCGGGCCGCGTGGCGTTCAGCAACCAACAGAGCTACATCGCGGCCATAAGCGCTCGTTTCGTGCAGCTCCAGCACGGAGACATCGATAAGAGGGTGAGCCGATTTAAACGTACAAATTATTATTGCGGACGAGTTGCAATATGTAGGGGGAAGGGTTGACGTGCAAACGTGACTTATTATCGCATTAATAATACATTAAATAGCGACGTGTTTCTCTCTCTCGCTCTCTCTGTTGACGGTTGCTGTGACCAATGGCGTCCGTTGAAAGTAATGCGATTGCATGAGCCGTCCGTTCGGGGGTGAGATGCTGCCGTACGTTTCGGCCCAGAGAAACTTATGGTAATCGCGCAGTAATGATTAGTGATTTCGGTGCAATTTACACGGTGAATGCATCCGTCCGGCTATTAGAGACGGCTGTGCATGATAACGAGTACACGCGGCGTGTAAATCTACTATTTGGTTGCGTGCGGTATCGAGAATGTCCTATCTACTGGTAACGGTATTTTTATATGTGTATTGGTACTGGCCGCAACACTGAGAACATATAGTTGGTTCAACCGGCGCACTCGTTCGTAGTCCCTGAGAGTGCCGTGGACTCGACAATATTTCTCTTTTTCCGACCAATCGAACGCTCTGAATTAATATTTATTTTTTTTTTTTTTTCATAATATGTCCATCGAGTGGGATTTTTTTATTTGTGCTACACCCATTTTCATCTCGATCGATTCGTGTACGTGTTCTCGGTGAAATTATTTGAACACAATATTTGAACTTTGCCGAAAAAGCTTGCTTCTTAATCGTTTTTTAAGTTTTTTCTATTTTTTATTTTTAATAACACCGTTTGTTTTCCATTTTGCGTTCCGTAGTGGAATATTTTTCGGTATTCAACATCTCGACGCGTAGAACATCAATATCAAACCAACAGTTAATAATGGTTTTTAAGCGTTTAATTCCAATTATCAGAGCTTATTGGGGTGTAAGGAATATATAAATGAAGCTGTATCATAGTATAAGTACCTATGTATTTATTTATACATGTAATAAACACTATTGCCGATTCGATATTAGGTTTTGCCGTTTTCTATAAAATGTTCTGCTTTGCTCTGAGTGTATGAGATTAAAAATAAATTATGTTAAAGATATCGTATATTAAATCAGAAAAACAAAATGTATTAAAACGTTTAATTTAATGCGAATTATGAGTTAGTAATTTTCTTAATAAATATATATATATTATAATTATAAAACGCATAGATTGACCGAGAAATAACTTGTGATTAATGACATTTTATACATTGTCGGTGGTCTGCAGCTGTGAAGATTTTCATTTTTAACTATTATTGTTGAAATCTGCAGCGATCATTTCACGGTGCAAATTGCTGGTTATCCTCGGCATAGTTTATATATAGCGGTTAACTTACGCGTTCCAAAAACAATCTTAAGCGGATTTCACGGTTCTCTCGCGAACATTGTCGAGATTTTGTATTAAGATCCATCTGATGTACTGTATTTTAATCTTTCTAACATTTTGTGTGAGTGTGGTAATTTTGTTTCTCGCAAAACTGTTGACGGTGTAGAAATTCGAAAAATAACCACTTTGAAGTATACCAAATTTAGCTGTATTATTAAAGAGTTACCTCACGGAACATTTCTATTCTATCAACCTTTTTACTGTCCTTAAAAGTACTTTGAAAAATAAAAGAAAAATAACAGGCGTTATTGTAAAACCTTTTCTCCAGTGAAGATGTAAAAAATGAAAATCACATTTTAGAAACGTATACAAAACGATTTTCTCGGCGACGGCAATTTCTCATACGTCTTTAGTGGACAAAATGTAAAAATACGCGTCTGTCGACCGTCGTACGCAGTCCGTTACCGTTTCATTAGGAGTTTTTAATATTATTGTTTTTTTTTTTTTTTTTTTTTTTTTTTTATTATTATACCTTTTCTTTTATTTAACCAAGGTTGAAGTCAAACCGTACGTGCTCGACGATCAGATGTGTGACGAGTGCCAAGGACAGAGATGTGGCGGAAAGTTCGCACCGTTCTTTTGTGCCAACGTCACTTGTTTACAAGTAAGCAAGCCGTGAGTCAAAATAATTGTATTAGTTTGATATTATTATTTTGATTTTGGTTTGGTTTTATAAATCGTACGTAAATTGTATGTGTTCAAAAAGTTATATTGGTGCTCGTTTAAACGTAGAAAACAAAAAAAGAAATCATTAAACATTTCTAAACTTTTTGAACACCTTATTATTTAATATATATACATAATAATTGTTTAAATTTTTGAAGTTAAATCCTCCCTTGCCATATACTCGTACTATACTAGTGCTAACATTGATTTTATTCAATAATGAATCGAAGAACTGTATATTTCTTATTCAGTACAACTATATAAATTTATTAACAGACATGTACATTATTAATAATATTTCACGTACCGAATTCGGTTTTAAATAGTAATTATAAATATATATATATATATATATGTAAATGTTATACTCTCTTAGTGAATACTTCTTTCGGAATTTCTAGAATCGTTTTTTAATACATTTTTTTTTTCCAGTACTATTGCGAACTGTGCTGGGCAACGATTCACTCGAGACCAGGCCGCGAATTCCACAAGCCATTGGTCAAAGAAGGCGCGGAACGTCCAAGAACTGTGCCATTCCGTTGGTCATAACGTAAGATTCCAAAAGGAGTAGTCACATTTTATTAATCCACTAATTTGTTTTGTTTTTTTATTTTATTTTATTATTCTTACGCATGTTTATACAAATTATATAAAAAAAAAATTTAATGTTTTTGAATAGTCTTTTTAAAACCTGTCGTTTTTTAATGCGAGAACTGTTTTTTACAATTTTTTTTTAATCTACCTTTACTACACAATTAAGCCTCTACTGACTTAGGGAAATTGACGTTTTTTTTTTCTTTAGGACTATTTAAATAATTCAGGGTAAACACAATGGATAGGGCTCTTTTCACCGAGCAAAAACGAATTGTTTTAGTACTACAAACGAATTGTATTAGTGCTACACAAACCTTCCAAAGAACATAGATTTTGTTTTGTTAGAACTATTTTTCATTTTATTTTTATTGTTTTAAAAATGTTATATTTTTTCTCTTTAGATTTAGATAATAATAATAATATGCATTTTCCAAAAAGATTTTTATTATCCAGTTTTTTTTTTTTTTTTTTTTTTATGATCTAACTTAAGAGTTTTGTTTATTTTAAAGTTTATTATTTTTAGATAAATTGTTTTTCAACTACTGCCACCTTTTTATCATAAAATTTTTATAGATATTGTTTTTCATTTTCTTTTTGATAAAATGTTTTTTTTATATACTCACACATTTACACACGTATGTATATACATACATACTGTCGTACACACATAACCCATATATGAATATATAAATATATATATATATATATATATGCTTTGATGTATGTATGCGTGTATATACGTATTTACATAAATAAAAAATTAACATTATTAAATCGCAAATTAAAACAGTTTGGTATATATAAACCTTTATTTTCCCATGAGTTTTGTTCTTGATATTATCTTAATATTAATTATTTCTATTTTTGGGGGCAATATTGTATAGAATAACCAATATAATATCTATTATTGATATTGCGGACGTGGACCACAGGTGTTACCTATAGCAATCGAAACTCTTTAATAAATTAATTAATTAATTATCAATGTGCAATGTTTCGTAAATTAAATGTATGCATGTATCTATGCAAACCATAGGTGTACCCTTCTCCTGGTTTTTCGCCGAAGTTTTAAATTACAATATTAAAAAGAATACGATATTATATATATTTTTCTACTTCTTTTTTATATTTTTTAGGCAGCTTCGTTACGTCTTAGCCTAGTTACCAATTCTAAAACGTTAAAAAATTAAAAATAAGAAAAAAATATTTAAAATTACACAAAAATGAAAACTGATGTTTTCTCATCAAAATTTGTATTACCTTTTTTAAGTAAAAAAATAAATAACGTTTGTTGAATGTTATTTAGTTTTCAGAAGTTTTTAATGTTTCGTTATTTGTTTTTTGATATTGATAGTATTTAGTTTTTAAAAACCTACCTTTATTTTTTATAATAATTCTCTATATTTTTAATATGCTCTACTATACCCTTAGGAACCTGATAATTTTTATAAAATACCTCCATTATGAGGAACGCTTAATGCAAGTCTTCTATCCCTTTCCCTTGTTTTCCCTCTGAAACTAAACACTACAAGAAATATGGCAACGATTTACAAATTAATGTTTAAAAAAAAAATTTAAAAAAATAATATTTTTTTTTAACTATATTTCATCGTTTTATTAAATTCAATCGACAAATACTACAAGTTGTTTGATCGATCGGTAGCACTTAAACAAGAGTACAAAATAAATTAATATAATGATGTTAAGACCCACTAATCACATCACTGCTGTGATGAAAATTTGCAGTAGTTTGCTGTCATCAGCTTTTAATTTTTTCGCACTGTTCATTATGTTCTGTAAACATTATTTTCTTTTAATTTAAACCTAATAAAGTTTTATCAGTTATTAATATCAAATGAGTATGTGTATGATCAGTCGAACATGTAGTATCTTATATTTGATATCAGTGCTACCGATTACATACAGTAATATTAATATAATAATAATTATATATCCTCTCCCCCCTTATCAACCCTTCTCTAATACCTCAGTTTTCTTTGTCATTCGATTTGGTAATGTAAATCTGAGAAGATCAAATCAAAAAACAAGCAATTTAAATACATTGTACTTAAGTTAAAATATAAATTATAAATTTTTCAATAAAAAAAAAAAAAATCATTTTTCAATAATGGTGATTTATAATATTATAATATTAATAGATAATACTGCGTTTTCTTGCACTTGATATAGAGAGTAATGATAAATTTTACTATGTACATAAAAAAAAAAACAAAATAATTATGGTTTAGGCAAATTGTTGTGTTTTTCTTTTATTTTTTGGGGGAAAAATTTTAGTGTAATTTTATCATGAATCGATAAGTTTTTTAATCGCACCTAAAATATATAATATATTTATAGCGAATTTTTTCATTATATACTAGATTTATTAATAATGTGTAAAAATAAGAAAAACCAAAAAAAAATTAAAATTAAAATAATATTTTGGCAGTCAGATTTTACTAGTTTCTAGTCAAATTATTGTTAGCCCATAATGTTCCTAATCACAGGAGCCATATTTAATGATACAAATATATAAAAGTAGTTAATTTTTTCCTTTTCTCTTATTCATTCATATAAATAAATAAAAAATTCAACAGTTCACATTTTCAGAAAAAGATATTTGATAACTTTAAAACTAATAATTTTACTTTTTATGCTGGCAAACTGATATTTTATATATTATTAAAATTAAAAATATTATAGCTATTTTGAAATTATAAAAAATAAATAAATAGTCAATTTTTTCTTTTATCTTTGATAAATACTAAGTAAGAAAAAGCATTATTTTAAGTGTTCATTGGTGTTTATATATAATAATGTCTGTTTGTCATTTAGTGTTTTGGCTTGTGTGGTTTTTGCGGTAGGGAAATAATTTTAATTTTCTTATATAAAAAATATAAAAACCTTTTATAATTATATTATGTAATTACTTGTTTTTATTTCACTGGCCATTCTGACATACATGTATTTGGCTGTGATACAGTATTTTGTACATCTTTTATTTTTTAACTGCATAATGCTCGTTTTATTGAATTGTTGACTCGTATTTCTTTTCTTTTCTCTATTATGGGATAAAATTGGCTGAATATATTTTTTCTTACTTTTTTTTTTCATGTCAATTTATAATAATTACTATAACTCGTCCGGTTTTCTGCAAAGGTTTGGTTACCACTTAATATATTTTCTTTTTTTTAATTAGTTCAAATTATTCTCAGTGTAAATATGTTATTTTATTTTTCCCAATTTTTTTTTTTATTCTATTTTCTTTCTTTTTTTTATATAAAATCTAGATATTTTATTCTTATTCTTACAAATTGGATGATAATAATTACGGCAAATTAAATCTATACACATATTAACATTTTGTTTCATGTGGCTCAATATTTTCTTCCATATTATAATGAATTATTAAATAAGCTATTTGCTGCAAGCCAAACGCAAATTTAATTTGAACAGTCACAAAGTCATTAAATATACAAATCCCTTTAATCATCAAACATTAGAATATTGTTACAAACCACAACAAAAAATATTTCACTTCTGATTTTTTAGCTTTTTAATGATTATTGTTATCATTAGTATATTTCTTACTTTTTAAAAAAAAAAAAAGAAACAAAAATATTATAATGACTATTTATGTTATTTATTATATAATCTATTTGAAAAAATTTAGTAAAATTTATTGTATAATTTGTTTATCTAATATCTTACCACGTTTTGTTATTGACGACGATTACCATGTGCCGTTGTTGTTGGATTTATAAGCTAATAGTTATTGTATCTCGTAGCACAGACGATATTGTATTACTGTAAAATCCACATATACACGTACACAAACATATTGTATTTTTTTTTTTTTCATTTTATATTTAAATAGGCAGGACTGTGATATGATCAATAAGAATGATTATAAGAACAGACATATATATGGTTTATTTATTTATTTATTATTATATATATTTTTTTTTTTTATTATTATTATTATTATTATTACACTATGGTTTAATTAATTTTTGTAGCACATTTTTTTTTTTTTAATAATGTTGACCGTATTGATCTCTTGTTCAGAAAATAAAAATTAATATAAAGTAACTTAAATCATATTTAAAATTATATGCATATATATTTTATTGTTTTTGGTATCAATTCTATTATTTTTTTTTATCTGGGTTTTTTTTATTATTTTATTCGTCATGGATTTTTCTACATACATTTTATCTAACTTTTTTTTTTTTACCCGTAATTGCTTAAATTCTTACTTCAAAGACACATAATATCATATTGCCAGCTGGAAGGGAAAGTGAGACTTGAGTTCAATAATTTTGCTTTTTGTTAACTTTATATTAAACAAAATTATAATAAACGTAATTAATTATTTACTATAATAGAAATGGAAAGTAAAAAATAAAATATTCTTTTGTAGTATACTTAGTTTAGATGAATGCTATAAAAAATAGCCTATGCTAAATTATATTATTTGTGTGCATTTTTTTTCATCACTCCTATTTTTTATGAATTTTGTACGTTTTTCTAATATATATTTTTTTTTTTTGTATACTACGTATTTTTTTAAATGTAGTAATGTTGGACAGATCCATTACAAAAGATTAAAACTTTATTTTTACCCGAGTATCATATTCAAAATGTTTTTTTTTTATTATTTTTATGTAACCTGTAAGCGAATGTCTTTATTATTTGATTTTCAATATATTATATTATTATATGTATAACACACAATGTCCAACTTGCTTTTCCCGGTAACTTACCCCGATATTTCAATTGGGTCATTTTATTATGGTTTTGTTTTGTTTTTATTTTTTTGTTTTGTTTTTTAAAATCATTATAATGTATATCCATATTATAAAAAAAAAAAAAATTATAATAATAAATGTGTTGTTTTTTTGTCAATATTATAATTCTACATTGTACCTACATAGACATGCCATGGATAAATTATTACAGTTCAATTTGTGTATACCTTTATGATAAATACTTATGACAGTATGTCATAATCTTAACTAACGTCTTCATAAAATAATACCTAATTCTTACGTGAGTATATGATAAAAAGGTAATGTTATTTCATTATATATATATATATATATATATATATTAAAGAATCAGAAAAAATAAATTAACTGCACCATAATACTTTGGACAGCAGAAATTACTATTTCAAAAAATTTGAATTAAATAATTTAACATGCAACATAGTTAACAGTATTTATTTAAATATTACTGTTTTTTCGAATTGATGAATAAGTTATTTTTAATAAAATATGCTTGAAAATATTTTTGAGCAAAAAAATATCTATACAAATTGATTTAATAAAAAAAAATGTAATTATTAAAATGTATGAACATTTTTTCCCCCAAAGTATTTGTAATACATATGGTTTCATATTAAAATACCTAATCAAACAATGGAAAATTATACTTAAATATCAACAAATTTTAAGAAATATTTCCTATTCCCAAAGAAAGTGTTCGAAAAACATAACACAATCTTTGCATTAAACGTGATAACACAACTTTTATGTATTTTATTATATTTCTTCCGAACGATTTGATGAACTGAGAAATGTGACTTTTTCATTATTAGAAAAAAAAATGTACTTCTATAAGATGAGTTCACCACAATAAGTGAATGAGACAAAACCAGGTCAACACATCTTGAATGATTCGAACACTGGTAACGCTACGGAATCGATTTAATAGTATTTAAAAGTTTTTAATACTTTTTTAACGATTCAACGCGAGTAATATTAGATTTGATATTCATAAAAACTAATATTGTTTTAATTGAACCGTCTAGACACCGCAAAACATCGATGTACTTGTATTGCGTGTACATAACGCCGGCTTACGAAATATACGTATCGCATTTCGATGTGCACGTTAAAAGTTAGAACCTAAAAGAAGCATACAAGTTGTACAAGTAAATCGATGTATATAAAAAACAAAACAACCGCAAGCATATAACCTAAACAGTATTTATCGACGCAATTACTACGTTATATTATGGTGCCGGAAATGAAACAATGTAGTTGTATCATATGATGCGATTACTTCATTTTTGAGATTCAGCGTCTAAAATTCATTCGACGGCACAATCTTTCAGTGTTTCGATTTCCTCTTCTTCAGCATTATCTTCGTTGTTTTCCAATTGTTTCAGTTTAGCCACGAGTTCGTCCCGCACTTTTTGACACTCGGCCAATTCAACTCTGGCGCTTTCGATTAAAGATTTAATCTCTGCGATTTCTCTAGTATCCGAGTTGTCAGGGAGCAGATTCTTCCTCACGTATCTTTCCACAAACAAATTCAAAATAATTACTACACAGTTTCACTTACATTCATTCGACATTTATTAATTTTGCCTGATCACGTTAATTTTATCATGTTCGATTGATTTTTAATCATTGATTGTTTGATACTTAGACAGTATATCACCATCAATATTTAGATTTATCATTATACATATTCTATACAGCTTAAACTTAATCATGTATGGTAGCATTGAATTTTTTGATTTTTGTTTTTTTGTTAACTAATTTACCAATCATTGTTAATTATATTATTCTGGATACGGTTACATTTATATTATATTATAATTGTTAAATCAAATAGACGCGATTATAATGATCGTCTATTTTTGTACAAATTATTAAACGGAACTATAAACTACCCTAAGCTATTGAGCCTTATTAGCATTAGAGCTCCACAAGTCAATCGATTGCCCTAGTGGACGTTATTATTATAAAATAAATTAATAAATAAATAAATTATGTTGCACATAAGATTTTAGACGTTAATTATACATATATTCTACTTAAATTATAATGGGAGTTAACATTAATAAATATAAATAAATAAATACATTTATAGATCTATACAAAAAAGCACATAGTTGAAAATTTACATGTGGCACTAGCTTGAAATAAAATTATCTGGTATTTTTTTTTTTTTTTACTATAATATAAAGAAAGAATAATAATATTATGAATTACTGTTTTTCTTAATACTGGCATTGATTATAAATACTATTACTAGTAATAGTAATATAAATAATACTACTACTAATATTTATAATCAATGATACTGGTTATAAAATACTGTACAATAATGAGCTCTACCCCAATGTTTAACTTTGAGTATCAATGAATATATACATTGTTTTCTATAATTTTAGTAAGATAGTTTAACGATAGGTACTTATTTTGTACATAAATCATGTATTTTGAATCGTACATAGACGAAGAAGTAAGATTTTCGATTGGAAAATATATAATTGGTAGTAAAACCAATTCAATATACCCAGCAAAGTCTTATCTACTCGAAAAATTATTTCTCACATTGTAAATAAAACTACATTTTATTTATCTGACGAAATTTAGTTACCAAAAAACTAACTTCAGTCATCGTTACACATCTTGCTATTTTATTTATATTAAACTACATTAAATTGATAAATTAATAATACATATTATTTACATTTTTTTTAATATAAAAATTATATTTTAAAGTCGGTTATTATTTTTCATATTGTCATTAAAATTAAATTTTTAGATGGTTTCTGTCATTTATAATGCATTTTTCATTAATTTTAATGCCTTTAAATCTGAGTTCTACATATATATATATATATATATATAACCTACAAAATACAAAAAGTAAATTTTTTATTTTCATTTACTAAAATACCATAAAAGAATACCTAAAATATAATTAATTACAATATTACATTAATCTATATAATAAAGATTGAGCTTGTAAATAAATAACTCAAGTTTATGTTGATAAAAATGTTAATGTTTTAGAAGCTCCGTAACCTCTCTTATTTAAATGTAATATTTATCTATGCGTTTTCTTTTGATATAATTATACAATTACTCGATAGGATCCGACGGTCGTTCTGATTCATTGTACAACATAATAAATATATTAGTAATGTGATCCACAACATTATTTTGTTCCAAATAGTTTACAAATTCTTCCACATCTTTTTCGACACTTTCCATACTATCCTTAAGTATTAAATATTGAAATACGTCAAAATGTTGCATAAATTATTTTACTATAAAGACATTTAAATTTTGATGCTTACCTCGAATAAAAATAAGTTTTACAAATAAAGTATAACAGAAAAAATATACAGAAATATAAACAATTATTTGTTTAAAAATGTCTGTAAAAATCAATTAATTACGTATCTATTTATAAATAAAAGTATGTATACTTATAAATATTTTAACTGGCCAACATTGATTTTAAAACAACTTTGTTCTAACGTGCATAAGAAAACATTAAAAATTCTTGGTCACATTTTTTTTTTTATGTTTAACAATATATATTTACTGTAGGCGCTTAAAACATAAACTACAATCTGAATACTTACGTAGGTGTCAAGATGATTATTTTAAAAAGGATAATAATTTATTTAGAAAATAAATGGGGATTAACAATATAATGATAATAATAATAATAGTAATGTTAACGAAGATGGTTTGCCAAAGGCTGCCTGTCCATTGACGTTCGCTCGGCCGGTGGAAACAGCCGTTGTCGTTGATGGTTGTCGGTCGTTATCTCTTATAATAACGATCACGACAATTATATTATAATTATATAGGTACAATGGCGTACCGATAAGGTTAGCACGACGAGCAATGAGCCACACGAGTCTATGACTCTGGAGGGCCCATTGAGAAGTATAGAAAATCCAAAAAACAGATCACTATTATCATAAAATTTAAAAATACCACGATTTTAAAAATAAACTATGCTCTCGTAAAATTTAATAACTTTAAAATAAAATGAATTAACCGTTTAAAAAAATTACTAATACACGCTTATTTATTATTTTATGCGCAGCAATTGCTCGTTGGCGCGAGGCATCTGCGATATAAAATCTTATAAATAATAATAATAATAATAATCATTTTGGAAGAATAAGGAAGCAATCTTCATTTTGTCATAGTTTATAAGTTATTTTTGATGGCCCGGCATCATTTTCAATCGAACAAGAAACAGCTCAAGAGGTTAACTCCGAAGATTTAATCGATAAATTTGCTAAAGCAAAAGCAAAAAAGAAAGAATCTCATAAAATTGACAGAACATTTCTTGAAACATAAATTAAATATTTTTAATATTGTTATTGCCTCATTTATATTATTTAAACCAATACAATGACATACATATGTGAAATAAAAAGTGACCATATTCATAATTGTATAATAAATATATTTTTAATTATTTATTACTTATTATAAAAGATGGATCTAGATTATAAGACCAAAGGTTATTTTGCCACGATCAATCGAAGTTCTACTTACGTCGATGTATAGGTAGGGCCGGGTTAACGTATATTCCGCCTTGGGGAAGATTTTAAAATACTGGCCTTTTCAAACCTATCGTACCGTTTCACCGATAGTAAACAAAATTATATGAATAGCAACAGCGTTAAAATTGTTTAATTTATCTATATTTATAAATATATCATAAAATCGGAAATTTTAGTATAATTAAACTATTAGTATTTAGTATAAACTTTCAGCATCACTTAATTTTATGGGCTTTCTACTCATATTAATTGAAAAAAACTGCTGTAAGAAATTATTTAGCCCGTTTGTTTTCAGTCAATAAGACTTGACAGCTGACGGGACTACGACTACAGGTACTAACCTACTGTGGTATATGAGACTCGAAAGATGAATAGACAATATAATAATTAAAAAAAATGCTTTAAATACGATCGACGCATTCGACGGCAGAGGGCGCCAAAATCGGAAGGGCGCGTGAGAGGGCTTAACATTAGAATTAAATTTGATCAATTGTTGGCGACGCAAACTATCTACTATGGATAGAAATAAAAAAATCATTATGTTATTCAATATAGATTTGATTATTATTATAATTATCATTATTTATTATTCATCGACATGCAAGGATTGGTCGCGCTTTTAGGTACAATTACAGTTCTATAAACTATTCTTACATTATTACAAGTATTATTATGTTTGTTCTCTGAATGATTTATAAATATGTGGCAAATATGCACGTTTGAACAATTATTTTGAGCACTTATGATTATGCATGCTAAATATTAAGTTATAATATGTTTAATGAAGTCATTCCAGCTCCCAAAATTCTGACTGTTTAAGTTATTTGTTTGTCGTTTAAGATGAAGGATTGCTAAAATAATTCTTAAAGAAAGACCAAAAGCCGGCCCTGTGTCCCACCTTTGGTAACTTCCTACAATTTTAAGTTTTTTTTGTTTCATTTCTAAAATCTTTATTTGAATATAATTCTAAACACAAAATAGTAACGAAAAAAAAAATTAGAAAAATGTATATATTCGTGCAACAAGGGTGTGGAGCATACTAAAAACCTTGTGCATGAAAGAGATAAACAAAGAAATCCCCCCCGCCGCGTCTATATTAGCCTTACCGTCATCCCTAGGATTCTGTCGCGGGTGGCCGTGATGTCGTACTAATAGTGCAATCACTAAAATATTATAGTAAAAATCTTAATTAAAATATTGAAGAACAAAAAAGCTCATAAGAAAGAAATTCGTAAAATTTCGATTTTGGGCAGTGCTGGCGAAACGCGCAAATTCTTGGATACGTTATTTCATGAAAACAACGATCGAGCGAATTTCGGCGATAGTCGTGAAAATTCATGCTAATTGCGTGCTAAATAATAGCTATGAAAAAATATATAAAATGCCAATTTTGCAATTGGGTAGTCCTGGCGGAATGTTTCGCCAGCACCGCCCGTTAATTTTTGCGATTTCGGAGAAATGGATGACACGCAAATCGCGAAATTGGTCATGCAAATTCATGCTAATAACGTGCTAATTATTGATAGTAAAAAAAAATCAAATTTTCCTAATGGCCGTGTGCTGGCATAACGCACGTGACAACAACTTAGATAGTTAGAAACGAATAAAATATTTTTTTGTGTACACAGTAATAGCAAATTAATGTCGGAAATTTCACTTCGCTGTATTCGTAGTTATTTTTGTGTGTATGATAATTACCGATTATACAGAGTGCGACAAATTAAACAGTGCAGTTTTGAAAGGTTGGTACTTCCCATGTGGTGGGGATAGTGCACGGAAGAAAATTAAATAAACCTAATTTCTATAAGTTACGTCTTTTTTTTTTTAAATAGACTTTCAAAACCGCACTGCTTTTTTGTCGCACTATGTATTTATAATAATTTACCCGTAAACCCGTTTATGTTATAACTATTTTAATAATTTATTCAATACACAATTATTGCTGAATTATTACATACAACACATCATCGTGTACTGTTTACCAGACAATTCTATTATACTTCCAACGACAAACCACATGAACATTAGTTAATAAAATGTTTTCAACGGATTTTCGCTCTACAACGGGATCTGTAATCTGCAGTCACAAGTATCAGTTAATTATAAAATTATTATGTAGTAAAATATTTATAACACTTAAATAACACATTTATAATTCAGTTCAACTGCTCAAGATAATTTGTGTATATTTTTGCATAGACGTACACATGGAGGCGAGTCCCTCCCCTACGGTTCGTCGTGGTTTCTTTTGAAATTATAAATGTAATGTAATAATCTAATAAACATTGGTATATGTATTAAGTAAATCTAAATTTGATCTTCATACATCTTAATTTCACTTCTATATATTTACATTGTAGACATTAGCAATCACATTTAAAAAATTATTTTATTTTATTTGGTTTATTAGATTTTTATTAAAATTAAATTAAATTTGTTATTATAAATTACAAATTCCCGTTTTTGAAGAAGAAGAAGAAGAAGAAGTAGGTTTTATTTTCAAATATCAAAAGAACTTTGAGAGTACTTGTTATGCATTTTCTATGCACAAGGGCTTCGCGCCCTCATGAAATGTATTTCGCCCAGAGCCTCTAAAATTGTAGCGCCGGCACTATTCGTACTCAGGGGCGTATTTAGAGGGGCAAAGGGGCGATTGCCCCTTCCCTGTATCCGTATTTAAGTAATCGATTATATGTGAGATACAAATTTCACATTTTTTTTTAATGTGGATCATCTTATAACGAAATCAAATTATGCGTGGCTTTGAATACTGAATCGGGCTTTTCGTCTTGTTTATACTTAATGAAAAAATCAAATAAAACACAAGCGTAAATTTCAAAACACAGACAGGTGTTAAAAAAGAACTGCACAAAAGTTGATTCTAAGTGGATCCGGCATTAGATTAGAAAAAAAAACCATAAATATTAAGGATTCACCAGATTTAAATATTACCAACAATTTTATTTGTAAATTTTAAATCTAAATTAAAGAAAAAATTTGAGTCGCCTCCCCCCCCTCTAGAAGTAAGTCTAAATACACCTCTGGTGTGTTTACTACTGTAAACATATTGTATACAATTTATATTCGAAAATAATACGCTAATACGAACGAAAAGAGAAAATTCCGAGTGCTACAATATGGTCATACTAATATATAACTCATCTGATAATTCTACGGTAAGTATTATAATATTATATTATCATTATTATTTGTTATTCACATTTTTCAATAACTAATAGTTCTTTAAAAAAATTATAATACATTAGAAAACTTTAAAACTTTCGTTTTCGCCGTTAAAAATTAGCCGTCGAGAATTGCCCTACTTTAAGTTGGTGCATATAATAATAGAGAACACGAAGAGCTATCGTTCAGTCCTAACTTGTACGCTTGTTTTGACGGTAAATTATGGCCCGTTCGTAGCCTGGAATATATAAAATAACACCCTTTTATAGATTGGCTTATGTTTAACATCTGAAACCATGGATGAGACGGTATTGTAAAGGAAGTTAACCATTATTAAAAGCGTTATAAAGCATAGTTACTTTTTAAGCGATTATCTTCTTTGCTTCATATAAACCTATGCACTTTGCTCCTTCTTTCTCTACACTATGTATTCAGATATAACTATGACCTGTTAATATTTATTATCTACCGCGGAAAAAATATTATCTTCATTGCGGAAAGAACCATTTACCATTAACCAATATTATTAATTTCATATGAAATGAATACAAAAGACTTTTCATTGTTTCGCAAATTAAATATTTAAAGCTTAAGGCCAAGGCTGTAGTATCAATTAATTATAAACGTCTAGACCAATTTTAGATAAACATTTTCGTAGGCGAAATCCCTGCGTTTCTGTAGTACTCGATGACCGCGAACAGGATATTGATTTTAATCGTTAAAGAGACAACAAAAAAAAAGTAAACAAAAAAAACCGAAAAACCGTAAGAACGAAAACAAAATCGGAAAAATAATCGAATTCGATAAGTTCCGAAATGAGTAAACGCAATCCATTGAGTAATAGTCCATGACGCAATCACGGTACAATGATATAGATAACGTATAATATATGTATTAAACGTTGGATTGGCCGCTTTTAAAATGCATAATAACCGCGGCGGACGGCGAGTACAGTGCTGCCAACGTAACTGACGACTTTTCAACGCGTGCCTGCACCGACGTACCGCGTTATCATAGGTTTCATATGTTTCTCGATTTTTAAGTCCTTGGCCGAGGTTCTGCTGCAAATCTACTTTCCGTGATCGTGGTCTTTTCGTCGCGCAATATCCCACCGTGAATTATCCGTAACCCGACCGCTGCACTTTGAAGGTGATTTCCAACCGGAACGGTAAAATTCCTAGCAAAAAGTCCCTTTGGCCTGTACGAATCTCTATTGATCGCCTGTCTGGTATGTGCTCGTTTCAGATGTACTCCCGACCGATTGTCCGTTTGTTCTTGGCGCGTCCAGCCGCGTTCAAGAGGCTGACCGTGAACAGTTCGACCGCAGCAGTATTCCAGGCTGAGCCGAAACCTCCCGTACAGGGAGTGATGCAGGTGCGCGAGGACAAGATCGTTGGCCGTGACATCGTCGGCTATGGTCTAAACGGCGAACCTCAGTACTTCGACAGTATCACCCATCCGTTCCCGTCCGTCAGGTTCAAGAAGAACACCCCCGAGATCATGGTACGGTGATTGTGTTCTGTACATATTTCATTGTATTTAATGATGTGTGTGTGTGTGTGCATGTATGCATATGTTTATCTGAAAAATTCAGGCTCTACGCGAGAAAGAAAAGGGAGACTGGAGAAAATTGACCCTAGAAGAGAAGAAAACTTTGTACCGAGCGAGTTTTTGCCAGACTTTAGTCGAGGTAGAAGCACCCACAGGCGAGTGGAAAGCCATATTTGGTTGGGTCATGTTTTGGGTTTCTGTTGCCATCTTCTCCTTTGTCGGAGTTCGCAAATACTGTAAGTGCCATGATTAGGGATAAAACAATTCTAGTTTTTTGGGAATCAGTTACTATTGGCCTAATGTAAAAATATTGATACTGGTTTTTACTTAATTTTGTGATTTTTGTATAATCAAATGCTATCAGACTTTCCTGATTTTTTTTTATCAACTTAATTCTTCCTATATTATTTCATGTTACTGATTATTCTAATATGTTTTAATTCCGTAATACCGATTCAAACATAATTTTATAAGTTGAATACAATTTGTTTTTAAGACCTAGTTTCAGTATTAATTTATAACAAACAAGGAACAATGATCAAAAGACAGTATTTTCATGAATAATTAATTCAAATGATTATTTTTTTTTTTTTTAATATTATTCATTAATTATTTCATAAACTATGCATAAGTATTTATTTGAGTTAAAAAATGAAGCTATATTTTTAATTTCGAATACTGTAAAACCAATACTAAAATCATTATCACTAATCAATAGTACATATTTTAAAACTAATTATTTTGTTAAACATTTTTAGTAACCAACACTGCTGATGATCCATCACTGTCTCTTGAAAGTCGTCAAGCTCAATTAAAACGTATGATTGCTTTACGTGTTGATCCTATTGATGGTTTGTCCTCAAAATGGGATTATGAAAAGAACACTTGGAAAAGTTAATTGTTCTGATTTTGTATTATAATATTTTTTTTTATAATTATTATATTATATATAAACCAAAATAGTCAGCTGTGAGAATAAATTAAACAGACTATGTAAGTGTAAACCAATTTGTGTAGTTAATTTGTCGAATATACAAATCTAAACAAATATTTGGGTACTTGTATATTTTGTTTTATTTAATTTTATAGATATCAGATACTAAAAATTCATTATTTAAATATCAAATAACTTCTAAATCACCCCAAAAAATAGTGTATTTATCTTTTTTTTTTAACATGCACTTTTGAAGACTTCAATAATAATAGAATTATCTTGTAAATAGTTTTTCAGCTTGTTATATTATTTTTACTTTTAGTGTATTTTTCATTAAAGAATTTATTAAATGATTACTGATTGAAAACATTTTTAATATAAGCAGACTTACAAATGGCATTTTGAAGTATTTTAATTTAAACAGTACATAAATTGATTTATTACATTTTTTTCAAAACAGTTCTACATTAAAATTGTTATATCTTAGTGGAATTGATGGATTCAATTACATATAGAGGCTGATGTATTTATAATTTTAAGCATGAGGTTTTTAAGATAAGGTAACTGAGACATCAATCAGCTTTTAGAAGGGTATGCAGTTATGTAAAGTTTCCGTCACATATTGATTCTTAACTGAAGTCCTTTGCTGTGTTAGTAATTTTATTGATAGTAAATTAAAATCAATAATTATTTTCATTTATATTGTATGTTCAAAATCTAAATTATGGCAACCATTTTAGTAGCTTCAAAAATTAAGTAATGTTAAGTCTCATCGCAATGATTTTAGATAATGTTTTATTGAAATAGATATTTTACTATTGATTTTATAATATATGTTAAAACTTATAAATTTATTATAAAATCAAAACTCTTACTTCATAATAACTTAACAAGCAAGATAAATATACCACATAAGATTTTACCAAGCAGGGCTTGGATTTATAAGCGAAAAAAAAAATCATAAAATATGTATACTCTGATGTATAAATATGCAAACTATTTCATTTATTAACTACAGTAGAAATATTTATGAACTCATCTATCATAATGTATACATTTAAAAATAATTATTAAAATATATGTAATAATTTTACATTTTCTTGAAATAATTGATGGAAACAATACCTATTTATAAAAACAACTGCCTTGTATATAATATGTTTTAATTTCTTCATAGCAGTGGGGTAATTAATTTCAAAAATTGATTATTTACCTTGCGGAAATATAAAATGTTGATATAACTGATTCTAAATATGTTGAGAAAACACTTAAAAATTGGTTTTACTGAAATGAACTATGTTAAACTAAATAAAAACATTAGTTTCAAATGGAACTCTATGGTTAGTTTCTTAAAAATCAATCTTAGCTGATAAAATGAATAATAATCATACACCAATACCATGAGTCAATATACATTATTATTTTTTTTTAATACCCAACTTCCATTGTATACTGAGTTATTGTAAAACAAATTTTGATATTTGACAGAACCCTTAGCATGCATATCAAAATAATTGAATGAAAAAAAAAGAATAAGACACCATATATATTTATAAATATTATCAAACAACAAAACATTCACCTTAGTAATAACAATACTAAATGATCATTTAATATAAATAAAATTTTATAACAATAATAAAAACTCAAATGACTTCATTTTAAGTGAATCTCAATAATTCATCTTAAAACGATATCATTGTCAATAAAATATAAATTATTTTAAAACGCAAACAATTCGGGGAATAACGACTCATAGATAGGTGTAGACTGGTTGGTGGTTTCAACATTTAACAGCTTGTTTGACAATTCTACTTTATTGAACACTTCGGTGATTTTGGAGTGCAAAGATTCTTCATCCTGTTAAAAAAAAAAAAAAATCTACAATCAGTAACAATAAAAAAAGATTTTCTACTAAATTACACCTATACATTTTTTTTTAGCATAAACATTTTTAAAAAATTTGTTAATAAATAAAAATATATATATACATAAGATCTTTTTATAGAGCAAAATAATTCATTCATTTTAAAATAGCTGAAAAACATTGTGTTCCATTTTTTATAGACTTGAGCCAAAAACATTCTTGATACTACCAGTGGAATTATAATAAAAATCCTAATTACCTTTGATGGGGTTGATATTGCAACCAGATCCTGGAAAGACGAGTTCCTGAACATATCGCACAGTTGTGATTGCTTAGTGTTTTGTTCAGATTTAGTCACTGGATTATCTAATAAAGAACGTTTCATGGCTTCAAAGGAAAGATCTTCGTTAGGCGAGAAACGCTACAAAGATAACATGGATTAGTCTAAACACTATAAACTTTGCAATTTTTTTATGTTTGTAACTAACTCTTTGCATTGCCGGAGTAGAGTTGACACTGTCTAAATCTAAATTGCTCAGATCTGTGAAACTTCCTTTCATAGACATGTTGGTGTTATCAACCCAACTGCGTCTATGTGTTAATATTGGTCCAGTTTCCGCTGAAAGAAAATAATGATTAATATCAGAAGACAAAAAAAAAAAGAGAATTACTAATGTTTCATTTTGATTTGAAATATCTATAAAATAAATAACAAACAATACTGAACACATCAGTAAAAGTTGCTTCTAAAAATGTAACCACAAAAAACTGCTATTAAAAAAAAAAAATTAAGAAATTAATTTTTCAATTATAAATCTATATAAAATAAGAAAAATACTGAAAATGTATAAAAAAAATCACAACATTTCAAGTTAAAATGTAAATAAATTGCACAGATAAAAAATATCTTGTTAGTTACCTTGAGCATTTAGTAAGTAAATAGATGAGTCAAAATACCTTTATCCTTATTAATTTAAATCAAATATAAGTTCCTCTAAATTTACTCAATTAAAATAACTTGAATTCAAGTTATGGTAACAGAGGTTGGTTTGATTTTTAATGAAATGTATTACAGTTAAATATTGTTTATAACAATAAATTGTTAACATTTAAAATCAAAACATACTCCAGGTCGTATTACAATGAAAAATCAGTCAACATCAATAAAAAGTGTGGTCTCTACATTGCACATTTTTGGGTTACATATAAACTGCTAACCTGTAATGTCAATTCCTGAAGCTTTTAAAGCCTCGGTTAGTTCTGGCTCTTCAATTAAAACACCAGCTGGTAACAAACATGAAGATTTAATTTCATTATGCACACTTAATTCTGGTAGCAAATGAGTGGCATTCATTAGTTTCCTTTGTTCGATTATCTACGACAAAAAGATAATAGCATTTTATAATAAAACTCATAATTTATTAATTTACTGTTTTATATTTATACTAATATCATTATCTTATATTATTTGTATTCAACAACAAAAAAAACATTTTATTTAAATTATCAAATTTCTGTTATAACATAATATGTTGAAACAAATCATAAAAGATGCTTAAAAATATATTTGTATTAAATTACTATTATTTAAATCTCACTTTTTCTATGTAATCCTTAAGCGGGTGCAAGTCTATTACAATTGCTACTAGAAGCATAACACTAATGACCAAAGAGTGCAAATTAAATTTCTGTTGAGTGGACAACACAGCATTAGTAATGGCCAATTCTTGTATGCTTAAAATCAGCCTGATAAAGTCTAATACAGTCTCCTCAGACAATAATTCAATACATATCAAAGCCAATGTTGTATACACAGCTTCCACATTGTCAACAGTATTATTGGTCATCTCTAAGCTTTCGTATATAGATACATAAATATCTTGAGCATATTTCCGGATGAATATTGTATCACTGCGAGAGCATTTCTCTAGATTTATATCAGATTTTGATATATCAACCCTATAAACCAAATTATTAATCATTAATTTGTATTGGCAATGACATTATTGTAGAAAACTTACGTAGCTTTTGAGAACTTAGCAGCATTGGCATGCCTATCTAAAAGTGTATGAAGAATACGGAGTACAATGAAGCGTATTTCATCCTCGGAAACAGTTAATGTTTTCAACAAAAGATCCAAAAATGATTGAGGAAAAGTGGCATTCATTTGCACTGAACTATACTTGGTGCTAACCTTAAACCATAGTTTAATAATAATTTGTAACATTGTATTTTAATAATACACCTAGAACTTAAAAATATAAATATTAATACCATTAAGAGAGATTTTAAACACATTCTTTGAACATGGAGGTCATTGGGATTATTGGAAGATTTAAATTGTGGTACTTTCGACATGATAAACATCATAATCTCAATTTTTTGGTAGTCAGGCAAATGAGCAGCAAATTCTCCAAGTGCATGTATAAGTGCTTCTCTGTATTCATTTTCTCCGTCTGATTCAGCAAGACCAATGTTAGATGGTGGTCGCCTTGTGACCGATGTACGGAGATTGGTAAGTAGAGAATTAATGATTTCTAAAACTGTTGGTCCAACACTTTCATTAGCTGCGATAGCTATGATCTTGGATAATACATCTGCAATACTGGTTCGGATTTTTGGAGAAGCATTACTGTTTTCATCCAAATGAGTCATCAGTGTTTCCACAACAGCATATGAATATTGAGATTGAATAGAAAACATTAAAATGCGGAAACACTGTGTGGCAAATACATTTGGAACCCACATGTGATGGGCATCTAAATGTCTAAACATTAAAAAACAATTAATTAGATAATAGTTTAGTTCATCACAAGATTATTTATTACTTAAGTACAGGACGAATGACACTTTTAACATGACCAAATGATGCTCGTCCAATCAATTCTCGTAAACAAGATTCTGCTAATGAAAATGAATCGTTTTTATCATTGACCTCTTCAGATATTCCACTATCAACAACTATTTCTGATTTAGTCCTAATAATATAATTACAGTAATAATAATAATAATAATAATGATCAAATATAGTTATGCATACAATTAGTGTAATATTATAATGGTTGGATAAGTTTATAATATAATATAAAATGAAACCATTATAATAGGACAATTTAATCAACTTACTTCATTGTATGCATGTTAAATAATAAAGATGGCACGATTTTATCCATATGGACAGGTTCCCAAATGTTTTCGACTAGATCATCAGAGACAGTTTTTCTAATAACTCCCTAGAAACAAATTCAAAGTATGTTTTATTAAACACAATTTTAAACAGACGATGAATTATAATTTTACTTGGATGCCTTTAATGCCAGCCATTCGTATCATCTCCATAGTAGCTAAATTCGGATTATTGTTATGACACATTGAAGAAAATTTGGAAACAAAAAAATCATATCGCCTATGATATGATGGTGTATCCTCCTCTATGTTAGAAAAACGTACAAACTATGAAAAAAATTAAATTTTTTTAACCATTATTTAATTAATTTACTTGATAATTAATAATAATTATAATATGTAATAATTTATAAGTACCGATTGTGTGGCTAGTATTTGCAAACTGGGTTCAGATGACTCAAGAAGCTTTTGCACAATACGTAAATAGCTTTCCACAAATAAGTTAAGAGTTTGAGCATGACATGCTACTAGAAGCTGGTCCATAGCTTCCATAGCAATCATTACGAACCTACAATGGAAGAAAGTAATTTTGTGGACATTAATTTACTTCAATAAATCTTACTCGTTTCTCTTGCGAGAAATATCTCGACTAGCTTTCTGGAATAGATATTCTCCAATACGATCTAATTTTTCAGGCGATGATAAAGCATAAAATGTCAACTTTTCCATATTATTTTTTACCAAGCCATCCTGCAGTTAAACAATTATTATTTTACTTGTTAGACAGTAATTTCCATAGAGTTTTTATTAATACCTGTGGTAAAGACGGGAAGATGTTGTCTACAAGTCGTTTATATCTCGGGCGCATACGAGACAGGCAGCCTAAAAGAACAAAATATTTCATAAATTGTAACTAATCTATTTAAGTACGAGTAAAAAAATTTAATAAAATTCATCTAAGGTAGAATTGGTAAGTTAAATGTTTTATATGTGACCTTGGTAACAACTCATTGTTTGACCAAAGTTGACCGATGTAATTGTGAATAAAATAAATGTCTAGAGGTTGAATGCGCTTAGAAGACGTAATGAAACTCACCAACACACATTGTTATTTGTACTGAAAAACAAATTAATTCACAAAATGTTTTTCGATTTGAAAACGTTTTCGGAAGTGGAGGACTAATGGATGCGTGCCATTAATTCACCAAGGCGACGGTTACATTAAAACGAATGTATGATATATCCCTAAGATCTTTAGCGACTGTTTAACGATTTTATATTTGAAAACGAAAAAAAGATTGTCAGTTAAAAATGATGAAGCGACCGGAAGAGTAATATTATTTAAATATTAAATAAAAGAAGGTATATGAAGGAAGTGGCGTTGAGTAAATTATTTTTCGACCAAGAATTTAAAAAGTGATAACACTAGACAATAACAATATTTGTATTTAATATAATATTATCTGTTATTCTGTGATATTTTGTCGAACGTTGATAACATTCAAAGACCTCGACGAGACGTTTGTTCCATGAAATAAAAGATAATCGAAGAAAAAAAACCGGACCTGCTAATTGAAATAATAATGGTAATACAGCGATTGGTGTTGTGTTTGATATTTGCATAGTCCAATGCAGTTAAGGGATTGCAATTTTAATTACGATATTCGAGTGCACTTTCAGGGGAGGGAAAACGACAACCATGATTTTATTTTATATTATTCAAAGAGTTGCGGGATCGTTGATACACATAAAAACTTATATAATAATTAACATCATGTACCTACTTTTCGATCCGGTGAAACGTATAAGAAATCGACCGACAGAAGTGAATAACAATCATACGATAAAATAAAACGAAAAATACGACAAGTACATGTTAACGAGTAAAGTTTATATTGTTAATGCCTCACAATCGGTAAAATTTATCGCCATCGGCTGAAAAAAATAGCATCTTAGCCAGGCAGATAGAGAAAAATGAAGCATCTTAACACGGAGTTATGCATTGACTAGTATGGGAAATGTCTAGGGACCGACGGAAAACTGCGTCTGACGCGGGAGAGCGTTTTAAAAATGATTTTTACTGTACATACGAGTACATTTATATATATTCGCAGAACGTTCTGGGATAACACTGAAGCCCGAAAGAAAACTGACGATAACGAAAAGAAAATCCCACAGGAGGCCATTATACCGCACATGTACGAACCGAAAAAAAATGGCCGAGACAGTGGATTGTGAAATCGTTAATCGTGAAAAGAACTATTGAGGATGAAGTATTATATATATGTTTATAGCCTTATTAAGGAGGGAAGGGGCAAGGAAGCAATTGCCCACGGACGCCGTAGTTTTTTAAAAGTAAGGGGGAGCTTTTATTCGCGCTTAATATGCTACCTAAAAACCAAATATGTTAGAATTTTGTAAATAATAAGCAAAGGATACCGTGATAAACGATGCCAAAATAAATTTACCTAGCCTTATGATAAACAAGACTGCGAGACTGAGATTTAATATGGTTGCAATCTGTTAATCTGTTTATCATCTGTGGTAAAATTATACAATTCACTTGAATTATATAAGTATTTGTGAATTAAGAAATGGTTTCAAAACTATATTTAATGAAGCTGTAAGTATTTGAGAAATTAATTTGTTACCCAAAGATAATTGGGAAGATATTGTGTTTTCAGAAAAAAGAAAACATAAAAGTTAAAATATTTGTTTCTATCATTGATACTAAGTAATTAAAATAATCGCAAAAAAGCGTACAATGAATTAAATTAAAAATGTGGACTTATTTTAAACTTAGAAAACATAAACTAATAATTTCGTGTATGCCAGAAAATCAAAAAAATTATTTTCACGCTTTATTAAAACCATTAAAAAAAAAATATATATATATATGTTCAACATTTTCATCAATAGAAATCGCACCTTAATATTTAGATGCACGCTTTGTTCAAATCCTAGCAATGAACGTTCATTTTCTGTTTTGAAAAAATTTTAAATATACATCCGTTCATCGTTAGCAAATTAAAAAACATAATCTTTATCACTCTTGTGCATGAAATTTGAAGTAGTAAGGAGTATTGATTGGGAGTACTTAGTTCAGAGATTTTCCCAAGATAAAGCAAGAAAAAAATTATAAAATATTGTTAGGTACTTTTATATATTAATTATGTTAATGATTAATTTGTTATCAATATTTTTATTAAAATAAATTAATAATTACATATAATAAATATTGCTTATTATATTTTAGTTAGTTTTCGTGGTGTATGGTAATAGCGGATTCCATGGAGATTTATATAATAAGAAAACTGTAATTATATCGTAGAAGGGTACAACCAAATGTTGCCACTGGGCACTAAATTGCTTTACATGGCTGTGTATGTATAAATATATATATATATGTATACATATATCAAGACTTTTCGGTAATGAAAAGTGGTTTGGTGGCTAGGACATCGCACGTGCACGTCGCAATCGAATAGACGTGGCAAAATAATATGCATTGGAATAGAAACCACTATACGACCTTCATACAAACCCTTTCAAGAGAACCAAAAAAAAGAAAAAAAAAAGAAATAAATAAAATAAAATAAAATAATAAAAGGATACGGTAGTTGACTCGAACTTACAAATGCTCGGAGTCGACGATTTCGGACTGCAGATAGTTTGCAGGGAAAAAAGGTAGCAGTGTACTGAGGCTTTGTGGAACAACGGATTAATATACTTCGAGAGGAAAAAGAGAAGGATAAGTAGGAAAATAACACAATAGAAAATTTTACTTCGAATAATACACACAATCGCGAAAGAAAGTTGAATCGCTCATAATACCTATTACTTGAAAACTGCGGCATAAGAACTATTCAAATTTAAAATTGATTGTAAGGCTTCAACAAAAGAAGTGTTTATATGAAAGAGCGTGGTTTGTCTTCACCATTTTTTTTAAATGTACAAAAAAAAATTCAAACCCAAGAAAAGCTTTTAAAAAAATAAGTGAATCTCTCTAGAAAATATCCGAATTTTCATTCTAAAAATAACTTTTTAGGCGTATACGTGAATATAATAAAGCGTCATAATATTTATTGCAAATCCAATGAACTGTGAAAGGTTAAATAACGTTTATTGCTCATCTGAACTATAATATTAACATAATACGATAATGTATTAATATAAAATGCATGGTTATTATGTTTAGTTTTAAACCAATGTTGACAGCTGTTGAAAAATAAGAAAATCAATTTCGAGTGGTATTCAGTAAAATTTAAAATATAATTTGTAACTTAATAGGGCCTTGTTTTAAAATATAAAGTGCTCATAAAAATAATTTACAAGTAATAATAGACTTTTGATGTATAAGTATTTGCATGACGAGTGTAACTAGCTGTTTATATTGATACGATATATATTTAAGTACAATTATCTTATATAGTTCAATGTTTTTATGACGTGTTTATAATATTTGTGTATAATGCACTATAATACACCTATACATAAGCTCTGCACGTTAATAGGTAAACACAATACGCGCATTAATATTATTCATCGACACGTGGGTTAACATCTCACAATCGCATAAGCCATATTGACGCATTTCAAAGCTATATAGTGGATAAAAAACTCATATCCAACAGTGAAATGTTATAAAATTATATTTTAATACATCACGGGTAATTGGGGATATCTATTGGTAGACACCAAAGCTGATGAAAGTGTATAAAAATTATGTTGCTTATAATGTTTACAATGCCAGAGACATAGAATGGTGGGACAAGTGGGTATTCTTTGCTCCAGGCACTGTTGGTATAAGGGCGCTCTTAAGTTCATGATATGTTCACATACCCAGTACTTACACCGACGTAAGGGCGCTGCATTTTTATTAGTCCCAGGCGTCAAATTTTCTAGATCCGGCAGTGTACATATTATTATGTCATTAAATGTTTATTACATGAACAATTTGAAAATAATTTATACCTACGTTCTACTTATATCTACCGTTCAATCGTAGTTGTTAGAGATTCCGGCGAAAACAATTTTTAATTAAAAATAAAATTGTTTAACCTTGTACCGTCTATCGAGGGATTTACAATCAATTGATTTCCGTTCCTTGCGTTATAGAATTATGTCTACTTAAAATTTATAAAATTGCACACACAGTTTGATATACTACTAAAAAAAAGAAAAAGCTAAAAAAAAATGAAATTCATTCGTAAACGAATTACCTGTGTAAGAATAAATTATAAATGTTATTCTTAATCATTATAAGACGTTTAGTGTTAACTAGCTTTTTATACAAGTATAATTATAGAATCATAATGTAAATATAATACTCGTATGTATGATATTAAAAAAGAAAAACGAATAACATTGAGGAATTAAATATTTTCTCAAGTGTATTTGACTGTGCTAGTGAAATCTATCATTGTTATTCTAACTAATTACTCGGAAAAAATCGTTAACACATTCAAACAATTGATACCACTTACATGTTTGCTGATTTATGATCTTTAATTTTTACTATATTCTATATATAGTGTATGTAACTTAGTATACGTATATATAATACGTAGGTAGAACAAATAAAATTGCCCTTTTTCTTGCTTGTCTGGTTTCGATATTTACAATTTTAGACTCCGTATCGGAAGAATCCACGAATATTATTAATTTATTACTCATTCTTTATGCAATGATATGATATAATAAGTGATATGATCGCATGCATCGAATATCGTGTTATTAAAACAATTTATATAATTAATTATCTAATAACAATTTGTTTGAATATAGATCATATATTATAAAATTCCGGTTACCACTTTATGACCAGACGGATCGAATAGTGTATATTGGGATATTTAATTTTTTTTTTTTTTTTAATGCGGTCATAATACTTTATACCATGTGGTATATTTTGGTTTGAAAATTAAAAATTAACAGAAAAACACAATCATTGTATTATAAAAATTAATTTATATTTTCAATTTTAATAAACAAATACATTTACGTGGTCTTATAATGAATGTATTATTTCCAAAAATTAAATGAATCAATAATTGTATTAAATTACATCGAAATAATTTATGGTCGGTAAATAGTATTATTTTAAATATCTTTATAAAACAGTTTTCAATCGAAACGTAAACGATATCCATATAATTTTACAATGTTCATTTTTAACGCGTATATAATTGCCTTGCAATTTTCAACACTACTATATTTATACAGTACTATAAAGCCTTTAAGCCTATAATATTAAAACTGACAAGAAAGAACGTTCAAAACCAAAAGAGATTTATAAAACAAAATGACAACACCAAAACTACATAAAAAAATAAAATACAAAAATAATAAAAATAAATGTATAAACCTAAACTTTTAAAATATAAAATGTCGAGTAAATTATTCACAA